AGAAATCAATACAGCATAGAAAGTTAACTAAACACTGTAATAGGGGCACCGTCTGGAAGGTGGACTCCACTGAACAAAAGTTAACCAGAAAAGAGAAACCTGCTGGAGGGGGAGGTAGTTTTCAGACAGCCCCAGAAGGGACTGCTTCCTCACACAGGAAATCCAAACCACGATTAAGACATGCCATTTTCTCACTAGCACTGCTTTAGAGGGAGAACCACCCACCATGGCAGTGTTCAGCAAAGCCCCTGCCCACTCTGCTGGTGAAAATACAACACTCAGGACTAGGAGGAGGAGGGTCCTGGAGGCACAGAGAGGAGACATGGGCCAAACAACTGAAATGCAGCCTCTTTCCAGGATCAACATCTACTGCCCAGGCATCCTGCAAGCAGCCCAGCTACATTAGGAAGATCATTCCTCACACCTTCAAGAAGTGGATAGGGGGCCACCGTCCACAGGTCACCCCTGAGGAACCCCTACCTTTCCTGCCCATGAACGGTCTGTGCAGCCGTCTGTACTTGCTTACCCACTGCTCGGCGTTTCCATCTGGACCCTTGAGGACAGGGCCATGCCCTCTGCTTCTTAGTTCTTAGTCTATTACCCAGCCTGGAGACAGCTGTGCAAACCAGAGGAGCCTAATATACAAATTAGCGAAAGGATAAAGTCTCCACTTCCATGATGTCAGCTCTAGAATGGAAATAGAGTTCATTTCACGTCTCCAGGTTGAATGTTTATATTGGAAGTAGAGGGGAAACAGGAAAGGACTTCTAAAGAAGAGAAAGTTCGGCAGGGATAGCACAAACAGCTCCACTATTTATTTTAAATTTATCAAAAGAAACACTTATATTCTCCACAATCTCTGCAGTATATCCAGATGGCCACATCATAACGGAAGGCTGTCAAGCACGGAGGTTACGCGTAGCAAAGAGTCTGGAGCCAAACCAGCCTACACTCCCGAAGCCTCAGTTTCCTCACCTGCAAAATGGAGATAAGGATGCCTAACTCGCAATGTGACTGGATCATCTATATAAAATGCAGCACCTGCCACACAGAAGTACGCAGGAAATGGAAACAGTCTGCTGTGCCCTATAACAGGTGAATCCATTAATAGCAGAGGGGCTTTCTTTGTTGACTAAAGCCAAGAGACCCTGCATGATTGTCCCCTGTCCTCTGGACACACAGGGCTGGAACTCACAAGGAGCAGGACTGAGACTCAAGGTGTCAGGTTTAGGCGAAGTCGTCTGCACGAGCTGTAGGTATACAGCCTAAAACAGACTCACTCTGTCAGCCCCAGCTACTCAGCTATGGGAAAGCTTTGTGGAGGCTTCAGGTGTGCATTTGTCTACAGGTTAACAGCAGTAGGGGGGAATAGTAAAGTGACAACTGTGACCTTGAGCAAGGCACTTTTCTGCCTTAGTTTCCTCTTTAGCCAGTGGAGTGGTCCCATTCTATGATCCCTGAAGACCATCCCCTATGTGGCACTGGTTGTTGTAATTCCAACAGCAAGGTCCAAGGGACACCTTCAAATGTGTTCCAATTCCTTCCAAAGCCACTTGGCAGCCCTTTGGCCCTCCTCCCACAAGAAGGGAGGATTCTGAGTAGCTTTCATGGCTGTTTTTTGTTCAGTGTGCAGCAGCTCTCCACCCCAGGCTGCTCGTTCCACCTTTCCTTTTCCGCCCTCAGAGTGGTCAAGTGCATATGCTGGGGCAATCACTGGCTTGCAGTGTGTCAGCTCCGAGACGGTTTCCAGACCAGCCTATGTGTATGCTCAGGGTGGACAAATAAACATTTTAGAGAAGCAATAGGAATTAAATCATTTCCTCAACAACAAAACGCACCCACATGCTTCTTCATAAATCATGCCTCTTAATTCCACGCTGATGAACAGTCACTAAATTGCATCATTATAAAATCAACCCTTTCTCCTTTCATGTCCTGACACTTAAGAATCAAAATATTTCCACACTCCATTGTATTAATGCCTTTGCAGAAGTAATACCAATAGCTATTTCCCTGGAAAGATCCATGGCCAGGGAGCTTTCCAAGAGGTTTTCTTTGAATGTTCTTTGTGTCCTGGTGCACTGGGGGACACGGCCGGCCGGCCTGCATCTGGGGGACGCTGGGCTACTCAAGGTAATGCAATACTGTTTTAAAGCACACACCGAAATGTACCTTCACCCCGACAATAAAGTATTCCAAAACATTCGATATGCCACATCATACACCCTTGCACAAATACCATTCCAGTGCCTGCATTTTGCAGGAAAAATAAGGCATATTCTGAGATGAAGCCACCAGACCCGCCTCAGGCTCCACAGATAACAAGAGACTAGCTTTGTAGACCTTTAGCAAGATTGGCCAGAAGCCGCTCGCTTTTCCGTTTTATTTATTTATTTCCTCCGTGCCTTTATTTGCTGGGCCCAAGAAGAATGGAAAAGCATCTCCAGAAAGGAGGGCGAGGGAGCCGTGGAGAATAAAAGAAGCTGGGCGGGGAAAGCCAGGGTTTTGAAAATAATAGCAATAAAGGCAGGCAGGGTCGCGGCCGCGTCCCGAGGGTCTCGGCGGGGCTTACCTGGGGCGCACGAGGCCGGCCGGGCCAGCAGCAGCAGCCAGAGCCCGGGGAGCAGCAGCCCCGGGCGGCGGCGGCGGGCGCGGCGAGCGGAAGGCCCGCGGCCGCTCGGCCCCAGGACCAGCGCGACCCCGGCGCGGGGCTTCCCCTCCATGGCCGCGCTCAGCGTCGGCGCCGCGCCCCCGGCAGTCCCAGCCGGCGCCCCGGCCCGGCCTCGCGGCTCGGCGCTCTCGGGCCCGGAGGGGCGGCCGCTGCAGCTGCGGCTGGGACGGGGCGCCGCGCACCGGCGCGGAGGGAGGCCGGCGAGGCGGGGGCGGGCCGGGGGCCGGAACCGCGGACAGGGGCGCCAGCCGCACGCCGGCCTCGCCGCTCCGCCCCCTTCGTAGCCTCGGAGCCGCTGCCCGGCAACGCGCGGGCCCGGGCGCGGGGAGGCGAGCACCCCCTCCCGGCCGGCCGGCGCCTGCCTGCGGGGCGGCCCAGGCGGCGGGCGCGGGACGCGGGCACGGCGGTGGCGGGGACCGTGCCCAGCCCTTCCCGGGGACCCGCCTCCGGGAGGGGACGTGGGGAACGGGGCTGGCGCCGCCCCGGCCCGGCACCTAACGCCGGATCCCGCCGCCCTGGGGGCCCCTGCGCCTTCGCCCAGGGCGCCGGGAGCGGGCAGGCCCGCTAGGAGGGGCCCGAGCCGGGGAGCCTGGCCAGCCCGGAGGGCGGCGGGCCTCTCGCTCCTCCTCTCCCGCCGACTCCGTGCGGACAGCAGGTGTGTGCGGAGCGCCTGCGTTCGTAGGACAGCCTCGGGGCTGCGGAGGGGACAAAGCAGGGGAAAGTCGGGCTCATTTCTCCAGAGCCCAGCGTGCAGTGAAGGGCTGAGGAAAGCGCGCGCGCAGCTCTACCCATCCTTTCTGCTTCTAGAGGTCCCGCCACCTCTACCGTCTTTGGGAAGCGCCCCGCAGGACCCCGCGCGTAGTAGGCCCTCGGCCGGCAGGCGGCTGCTGGCGAACTGGAGCAGAGCTGGAGAGGCCCCCGCACGACCAGGCCCTCTTCAGGGAGAGCAGCGCTCTTGGGAGGTGGAGAGAATGCCCGAGGCAGTTTGAGGCTGGAGTCCCAGAGGAAACGAGGACCCTGGAGAAGAAAGTTAACATCAGTCGAGTACCCACTGTGTGCCAGGCGTGTAACTCTGAAGATGCCTGATGGTTTAAAGGTCTTGGAAGGCGGACTTGGTCGTTTTGAATCATTGCATCCCCTTGGTGTGCTAAAGTTGTGTATGGGGGGCAGTGTCTTATTGTCCAAAAAACGATGGTGGACGGTGGAAGATGTGAATCATCTACACTCACTAAAGGATCCTGGTTAGCCTTCAGTCGGGTCCCCCTACCAGGCCCAGCCCTGGAGCTCCAACCCAACTGGGCGGCTTGCACTGGTGAGATTATTAGAGAATCGATAATACTTCCTTCTGTAAGTACCTACCTGTTAGTTTCAAGGAAAGTGAGAATAAAATTTAAAGATAATTTTCGTTAATGGTACTCATTTTTTGTACATTATTATGCCCCCCATTATAAACAGCCCCTATTTTTAGCAATTGCTCTCCACCCTATCCTCCCACCCCCTTACCCTGAACAGAGCTCTGCATACCTTGTCTGGAGCTTACTTACACTCAGGTAAGTACCTAAGTGGAGACTGCTCACTGGGGCATGTCTGATCCCGGGATTACTATGGCCCTTGATCTGGGACCTCTTATTCACACATTTTACTTCATTCTCTGAACTTCTTGTATAAACAGCACATTGGACCACAAACCACTGTCTTGGGGTGATTCTTGAATTGTCTTGTCCTATTGTGTTATTTTATCTTTTAGGAATTTATGCTTTGTTTCCCCCACTAAATTAATATGAAGTTCGAATATGGTGTCATCTTGCTTAGGATTTCCCATAGCACCAGTAAACCCTCATGATACATTTATTGATTTGAACCAGAGCGTCCACCCCGGCAGTGAAGAGATCCAACCTTGCAGATTTCCACCTATGCTAGACCCTAGGGTGTCAGAAAAAGGAGGCTCCCCCTCCATTCTCAGCCAACTCAAGGACAATGAAATGTTTGCCCCACCATTAAGAAGGGATTGACATCAGTTGGAAAGTAAAATAAAAATCAGAACTTTGAGATAATGAAAATGACTCATGGGCACCAACTCTCCAAGGCAAGTGAGATCCCTAGGATCCCTTAGTCTCCCAGCTCTGAAGGCATGAAACTAAATGTTACTCTGTTAAGATTTAAAGCATTCTGCCTCAGCGTCTAGGGAAATGTCTCCCAGGCTCTAAGAGTCCAGCTGGTAGGTGGTGTGACTGCAGCCTGTGGGGGACGAATGGTGCAAGGCACGTGGGGGAGGGGGGAGGGGGTGTGCGAGCAGTGTGCACGCACACATACATGACCCCACATGTATATATAAATACACACGCCTACACACATTTGTGTCTGCGAGAAAGATTCAGACAAAGCCTTAGGGCATTTGTACCAAATTACGCAACAAATAAATCTAGCAAATGCTTCTGAGCACCTACTGTAAATTCGTAGTGCTGTGGGGGACTATAAAAGAAGAATCTTTTATAAAGAATTTTAGAGATTGTCTCATCCAATTCTCATTTTATAGATAAAAAAGCCAGAGAGCTTGGTTTATTTCCATAAGACTCAGCCCCAACTGGAATTCTCATCTCCTGCTTTCCAGTTAAACCACACACCCTCTGGGGGAGGAGGAGAATCAGCCTGGGTCCTCAGCAGGCTTACAGTCTGGCATGGGGAGGGGGAGGTAGGATCAGTACCACCCTTACACCTAGGCAAAATGGGGTCCTGCTTTAGAGGGCCCCACTCTGGGCCTGCTCCAACCGCACGTCTCCCCATGGGACAAAGAGTCTGAGAAGCCAGGAAACTACCCCCAACCAGCAGCCCATTTTCCCCCATGCTTGAGTATCCAGGACTGCAGAATTCCCTGCCCATTCAGTCCCAGGCTCCCTTCCAGGCCCATGTGGGCTCTTCTTCAAGTCTGTCCTCTCAAGGTTGGACCAACAGCAGATATGGATGGTCCCAAGGGGTGGGCAAGGGGCAGTGGTTTGCAGGAGAGCGGTGGAACTTGGACCGGTAAGAAGGATGTCTGCAGATGTGCGCGTGAAGCCTGCAGGAAGGAGGCAGAGAGCCAGGGCTGGGAAGAGGTCGGGCAAGCTCCATACTCATATGGCAACCTGGCTGCCACGGTCCTGCTCACAGCTCCAAGGAGTCTGAGAATTCTGCCTTTGAATCCAGCCTACCAGGTCATGATGAAGGTATATATTTGTGAAAGGAGGAGAATAGACATGTTTAATAATTTGCTTGCTTGGCACATAACTTGCTGGTACTTTGATGTAAGGTGTGTGAGCTCCCATTTGCCCTCTCAGCCTATGTCCCTCAGTTCTTAGGGGTGGGTCTGGGCAAGGATAGGAAGGAAGGACTGACAGACCAAACAGCAAGAGGATGGTTGGAAGGCGGAGGGTAGAGCTGAGAGCCCTGGACCACGAATCAGGACAGCTGAGTTCTGTGCTCTGCTCTGTCACATAAAAGTTGATGAATGTGGACAAAATACTTAACCCTACTCTCAAACCTCGAACGTTCTTACCTGGTGATGAACTTGACATGCCTACCTTGCCTAACTGTGGTTTGTGAAGAGAATTATACAAAATAAGATAAATGTCCATAAAGTTCATTCATTAAATTCAGTGACTGTTTCTTGAGCAGGTACTGTAGGCAGGCACTGCAGTGGGCTCTGGAGGTACAACAGCAAACAAAACAGAGGCCCTTCCTCATGGGGCTTACATGCCAGTGAGAGGAGGCAGGTGATAAATGAGTGAATATTCAGCTGATGACAGCAATTTGGAGACTAGTAAAGGGGGAAAAGGAGGGTGAGAAGGGACAGTGTTACTGTGTTATTAATAAATAGAGTAGACAGGGATGATCACGCTAATAAGGTAACACTGAGCAGTGGGGATATCTGCGGAAGCGGGTGCCAGGCAGAGGGAACAACTGTGTGAAGTAAAGAAGCAGGAAGAATAAACATTCAAAAAATATTTACTCAGAGCCCCTACTAAGTAAGTGCCCTACAGAGTAGTGTGCTAAGTGGTCAGTAAGATTAATTGGTTCAGTTTTTTCAAAGAGCTTAAAATCTTACAGGAAAAAAATAAGTAAAAAAAAAAAACTATATTACAAAACAGAACATGATAAATGCCAGAAGAAAGTTTATAAACAACGTTCAAAGAAGGGAGAAATCCTCTTTGGGAGGAGGGACGAAGCAAAGCGTCTGTGTGGAGTTGCATGTGAGCTGAGCCTTAGCGCGTCCTTGGAGGATGAGGAGGGCCTGGACCGCTAAGGAGAACAGGACAGGTTTTCCAGAAGAGAATGAACCGGTACAAAGACATAAAAGCAGGAACGCATGACATCTATCTAGCTAATGTGCCAGATCAGCTGGAGCAGTGCTTCACAGCTCTAGCTGCAAATTAAAATCACCTAGACTCCACCAACAAAACAAAACAGACCACCCCCAGGCCACACCTCAGACCACTTATCTCCAAATCTCTACAGAAAAGGGCAGGGCAACCTTGTCTTTTTAAAGCTCCCCAGGATTCCCATGTGCGGTCAGGAGTAAGAACCATCGAACTAGGAGTTTAAGAGTCATCCTTTCTAATCACTCACTAAAAGAGATGAGACAGATATTTGACTTAGAGAAGTATAGTAGAGAAGAGAGAGAGGATGCTGGGGTAGAACAAGGAGGACTAAAGGGTCTGGACTTAATTTTGTAGGTGATGGTGGATCATTAAAGATTTTTTGAGATGTTATTAGAACTAAGTACAAGAAGGATTACTCTATTAACAATATATAAGATGATTTGGAGGGAGAAAAGACTGCAAATGCAGAGACCAATTAGGAGAAGATTTCAATGCTGCATGCATGAAGTATCAGGGATCATAACATTTTTCACCAACAAATGCTTTTAAAATTTTGATCATATCCATTTGTGCAACAGTTTGGGGAAATAGGCACTCTCAAATTCTACTGGTGGAAGCCATTTTGGGAGACAATTTGGCCTTATCTGTCGAAATTTAAAATCAGCTTTCTACTTGGCTCAGAAGGTCCACTTCAAAT